CAGCAATACCCGTCCACCGTGAGGCTGATGGTTTTCCAGGCTTTGAATCACTTGAACCAATCGCACTTAGATCAGCAGGGGCCAGATCAGCCACCTTTCCCTAATTTAGGTTATATTACTGAGGTATACAGTTTTGATTCATTGTCAAGTAGACAAGGGTCTTTGAGATTAAAGTATGTTTGTTCGAGATTAAAGTTGAATTGATTGAGATTTTTCAATGGTTTTTAATTTGTTAGCAACACGTTCCAACACGTTCCAGCTCATAAAACTTTTTAGTACTACTATGCATGGTTTTGTTTTCTTGTAACCCTAAACTTTGGTAAGGCAAATGTTTGCCAGTCAAGAAAACAAAAACATCGTTTGTTTACAGAAGAGTCTTCGAACATCCACCGAGTACACATCACCTGTCAAAAGTCACTTGTCAAATGACTCCTGCCTCAGTTGGTCAAAATGCACGCAAACTAAGAGTGGTGTTTCATTTCAAAGCTCTGTTACTGAGATGACTGCGCAAAGTCTGCAAGCCTAAGTTTCCAGCAGACTTCCGAACAAGTGCAAATCAAAGTGGGCTCCCAGAAGTGGATCAAGACATTGACATGATAAAGATTGAACTCCAAAGAAGTGAGTTGACATCAGTTTTTCACTCACACTCCACCCCAGTGATGCAAATACTGGTTCTATCAACCAGCAACTAAACATTTGAATTAAACTGCCACGTGTGCTCACAAGCGTCCACAGACAAACAAATCTGCCAGGAGTGAGCAAAACAAAATAGGATATTGCTCACTTTCTGCCAGCAAATCTTTCTTGCCTGTGTATTGACCATCATTGCCTCTCTCAGCAAGCTCTTCTGGACATGAAGGTTTCCCCGTTTCCAAGGCCGCCAATCCAGACGACGTTGACCAAAGCTGCACAGGCTTGACGGATTTTGCACCATAGGCGCCCAAGTAGCAAACCGTCTTGGACACGCCAATGATTTTCAAGACTGTGTCCATGAGATCACAAAGTGGTAACATGCTACCGAGCGGTTGCTCGAGACTCACAATGTGCCCCAAAAGACATGCCACAAACATCAACAGTGAGCTGACCGCCATTTGTGCATTTCCATTTTGAATGAACACTTTGGAAGTGTCGCCAAGGTACCCATTGCACTCGTGTCGCAAGCTCTGGCTCAAACATAGTGGTACCCACGAACTGCATTCAATTGCAAACCAAATGAAGCTCTTTGGACCACAGCTCAGCAGAGCTGCAAACCAGAGTCGCAATCCTTCAACTGTCAAACAGTCATGGTTCGAAGTGTACTTGAAATCGAAAGCTGCTCCCAAATGTTCTTGTGCCAGAAACGATTTGGTCAAGTTGCCACAGCCACTGAAGTATTCCACAAAAGTGAACTTGGAAGCGGCCATGTTCCTCTTGCCACACTGAATCAATGCTGCCAGCCTATTCTTCAAACTCAACTCTTGAAGCTCTGGAAAGACTGCCCCGAGGATCGAGTGCCAGTGCTGCTCTGCTTGACTTCCACGAAGTGAATCAAAGTCCAGGAAACTCTCAATTCGCTCCAAAAGTTCACTTGTTGATGAATCCACCAATTGACCCACCCTGCACACAGCGCAGTCATGAACAGTAACACCAAAAAAACCATCACAAGTGTGAACTGAACTGGGCTATAACAGTGAAAGTTGCTGTCCTTGAACTGAGCCTGACCCAACTTGAAACAGTCGAACATATTTGAACATGATATAAGCATGTTTAATTTCCCACCTCTGAAAGTCAAAGATGTGACCCAAGTCATCGAGGCCATACATTGAAACCTTGTGGAAGAGCTGCAGAAGTTTCACTTCCTTTTGCTCCATCTCCAACTTGCCAGTTGAATCATAAGGCGTTGGCGTCATTGAAGTAGCAGTAGTTACGGCAGTCAAATTGTCAAGTGACTCAACTGTCTTCTTCTCTTGGTCCCTAGATTTCTTTTTGCCTTTCACCTTGACTCCGTTGGCATTGGCACCATGAGTCATGGCATTAGAAGACAACATGGACATCAATCCATAGTAGTATGGCAGCATAGCCACTGAAGAAGCCACCCGACTTGAACGCTTCACCATTGCAGCAATAACAGACAGTCACTTTCAGTGTAATGAACTCAAATGGTTTTAGATGCAATTTAATATGTTGAAGATTGGTACAAATGAGACTCTCTCATCCTGAATCCTTGATTGAACCCTGTTTCTAAATAGAGTCGCTCAGCATGCCCTGTAAAAGGTAGCTAGGTCCGTTGCTGCTTCTTGGACCAATGACAGAATGCAGGTTTACCAATGATGCTTGCAGAGTGAACAAAAGCACTCTAGACTAGACACCAACAATGAACAACAAACACCCTACCAAATGAATGACATGATCAATGAACTGGACATCTCAAACCTGCTAAGCTAATAGACTTGAATCAATCCAAACTCAGCAAGCACTCCCAGACTCCCAAATCAATTTTTATCATATGACGGATGTCGCACTGACCCTTTGCAGCAGGTCTTGTTCTTCAAAACCCAGCTGATGGCAAATTTGTCTTCGCCTCCAACCACTGACACACTGCGACGTCTAAAATGGGCTCCTTGGTTGGGCCACCCTCCATCAGGTCTCTGATTGACCCGCATGAACCAGCAAGGTGGATCAGATGTGCCAAGCCGTCCTGGGCCAGGTGAGTATTTTATTTGGCCTGCAGTCGAGTGGCACGATGGGCAGCCAATGTCAGTCCACACAAGCAGTCTGAGTGATGCAGCTTTGGGGCCCCTAGGTCGTGCAGGCTAGGTGCTGGAGGGGCAGCAGGAGCACTTGAACTTGCTGCACTTGAACTTGCAGGAGGAGCACCAGCTGGTTCAGCACATGCACCTGAATCCAAGGGCGGTTGAGGCACTTCAGAATTGTCAATTGACACAGCAGGCTCAGCCAAAGGAGGAACACCAGCTTGTTCAGCACATGCGCCTGAATCCAAGGGCGGTTGAGGCACTTCAGAATTGTCAATTGACACAGCAGGCTCAGCCAAAGGAGGAACACCAGCTTGTTCAGCACATGCGCCTGAATCCAAGGGCGGTTGAGGCACTTCAGAATTGTCAATTGACACAGCAGGCTCAGCCAAAGGAGGAACACCAGCTTGTTCAGCACATGCGCCTGAATCCAAGGGCGGTTGAGGCACTTCAGAATTGTCAATTGACACAGGGGGCTCAGCCAAAGTTGGAACACTAGCTTGTTCAGCACATGCACCTGAATCCAAGGGCGGTTGAGGTACTTCAGAATTGTCAATTGACACAGCCAAAGGAGGAACACCTGCTTGTTCAGCAGAAGCACTTGAATCCGCCATCTGACCAATGTCATTTGACTTAAGCTGTGGCTGCTCCTCCTCAATGACAACTTCTCTGACACCAATTGACTCAAGCTCCTCCGCAACCTCGGTGACAATTGATTCTTCTTTGGCACCATTCTCAGGTGCATCCTCCTCAGCATTATGTGTTGGCAGAGCACTGCCATCATTTGACTTCAATCTCTTCTTCGCTTTTGCCTGTGGCTTCACTGCCTTCCTTTTCCCTTTCGGTTTTTTTTCCTCTGCTTTCAACCTCTTCTTCTCTGCGGCCAATTCCTTTTTTCCTACAGGTGTGTTTCTGTGACAACATATTTGTTCCCATTATTGTAGCTATTCCCCCGCCTACTTAGTTTTTACATCTAACAGATTTTGAAACCACAGTTAAAACACAACTTGAAGCTTCTGTCTTTCTTCTCCCGAATCTTCTCCTTGTGCCACTGCCTCCACTTCTCTTGCTGACGGTAATTGATCTCTTCAGTTGGCTTCTTTTTCAGACTCTTGTACTCTTCCTGCTCGTCCTTATCCAACTGCTCTAACAAACAGCTCAGCATGTCTGCTTCACCTTCAAACGCGATATGGTCCTCCTTCTGCTTGCCACACTCAGCCCGATAAAGAACTTGTTCGATGAAGTTGCAATCTCCCACATGTGTAGCCAATGCTTCCAGTGTCTTCTTTTTTGTTGGCTTCTTCCCAGGTTCGATAACTCCAAGAATCTGGCCAACTGAGTTAAGATTGCTGAGTGTGAAGCGGTCTTGCAAGTAAAGGAGGGCATAAGTCAGCAAGGGCTGTTCCGTTCCAGCTGTAGCAATGAAGATACCTTGATCTCCCCAACGAGCCTTGACAGGCAACACAAGGTAGTCCTCTGGGTTGTAACAATAAAGCCACTGGACTGCTCCATCTGGTACCAAAGAGAAGTGCTGCTCCCCACAACCAGTCTGATGCCCCATCGCCAATGGCCATGTCAAAGTGGCCCAGCAGTGTTGGGCCAGCACCAAAACCGGGACTTCAGTTCCAATCCTCTTGATGACCAAGCCTTCCTGGCATAGAACATTCAGCAAAGCAGCCTGCACATGCAAGGGACAGGGGAGACAAAACATGACTACTGAAAACAAAATGTCAAAGGGCAAATCATACTTGAGAATTCAACAATTACTTCTGCAGATAAATAGTTATGATCCTTTCTTGGGACAGCTTGTCAAAAGGAGAGCGACCAAGCCTTGATTGGAACCTTTTGCTGCCAAAGCTTTTGACCGAGATAATGCCTTATCCACTGCCAACCTGCTGCTGATTTCCGAAGAGAAGCCACCGTCAATGTAGACCAATCACGATTGGGACTCATGATGGCCTGGAAGTCTTTGGCAAGCTTGTGCCTCCTTGAGTTCATGTGCTTGGCCTCACTAAAGCTCTTGCTGTTGGTCTGGCGTTATTTGGTTCTGAAGATCCCTTCAGTAATTGTTGGGTGAACAACATCACGGGCAGCAAGCAATTCATCTGAGAAATTCTGAATGTGTTGGAATGATGACAAGCGCCTCTTTTGATGATGAGCACCATAACGCTGTTTGGCTTTCAGCCTCTGATGGTAGTCTTCAATCAGCTTAGAATCAGGAAGGCGCTTCAACATGCACCCCAACATTCGAATGGCTCCTGAAGCACGTGGGTCATCAACTTGCCATCCCACAGATTCAAATGTCAACATGACCAAACGCATTGGACTGGGCAAAGTGATCCTGAGATCTTTAGCCAATTGAGAAGCCTGCTCTGCAGTGCTGGTTTCCAGCTGCACAAGTGCTTGCCAATCACGTTTCATTCTCCTCACTTCCATGTGAGGGTCATCTGAGAGCATGTTGGCATAGCAGTAGGGAGGCGTCAAGTGTTTGGCATAGCTGCTAGCTCTTTGTCCAAGCAAAGAGGTCACAAATTCAAAGCTTGTTCGGGCAATATCACATGGATCAGGGCACCATTGAACCCATGAGTCAGACTGAGACTTGGCTTCAGGACTCACAATTTGGGATAACTCCTGTAGCTCAAGCAGTCAGATGCACTTTTGACACTTGTGTTGAATCTTGTATATTCTGACCAACATGGAATTGTACACAAGTACAGAACCTTAGTTCTTTCCCAAATCTTCTGGTTCAAGCTGTAGAGAGCAAGCGTGAGACCACCTCCACCGGCTTGTTTTCGAAGAGCATCAAACGTTGCAGCAGCCTGAATCAAATCTGAGTCTGGTTCATCATTGTCTAAGTACCAGGAAAGGATAAGCTTGGTGCCATGCCACTCTCGCAGTTGCTGATGACATGCATTCTGCCATGAAAACCACCTCGAATCTTTTGGTTTGGCTCCTTTGAAATTCCAGGAGTGCATTCGACCCAAAGCTTCCCAGACTGCTCGTTGCTCATCAGCAGTACTGCATGGCATGTCAAAGTCTAGGGCGATTCTGTCAATGTATTTTTGCACCAGTGGATCGTCCTAAACTTTTTAAACTGGTAACTGGTCATCAATGAATACATATTATCAGACAGAGACAAAAATAAACCCAACACTTCTGGTTCTCAGCTCTCCAAGACACCAATGTGATTGATGCGAAGAAGCTTTCAAGCGCTGCCTTCTTTTCAGCAAACCATGCTCCTGACCCAAATGGCCGGTAGTTTATCCCCCAGACATACCTCGGTTAGTCATCAGTCAGTCAGTTGACTACGTCAAATGACCCCAGTGAAGTTAACATTACTTAGATTAAAAAAGAGAAGAATATATAATGTGGCAACTGAGATACTGGGTTGCAAGCTTTATCTTTGAAAACTGAAGCTGACCTTCAGCATGGTTACAATCATTTGAAAGCCGGTGGTACCAATCCCAATCGCAATGGACAAAGAATCCACCTGGCACACCTTCAAGCAAAAATGCCGCTGCAGCCATATCAGATGGTGATTGATCCATCGTCAAAATAAGGCAACCCTGACAATTGCTCCACTCAATGACATTATAGTAGAGCCCATCTAGATTTATCTGATCATTCAAGACCTCAGGACGGCCATGAGAAGGTGTCAAAGGCTGCATGATTGGAGCCAGGTCACTATGACACTTGAACGTTTCCAGATTCACACGCTTTGAAGTGACCACCTCCAACTGGTGTGAGATTGCCTGCAAAAGCTTGAAAGAGCTCAACCGCTGTGCTCTCTCCTCGCAAGAGTGCGCTGCAGTTCTTCATCTGCCTCTTGAAAGTCGCCCGGTGTACAAATCTTGGCTGGCCAGA